ACGCAATATTCATCAACAGTTAGGACATGCAGGGAGAGCTCATATGCTGTCCAGATTGAGACAAAAATACTGGATAATAAATGGTAATTCAGCTGCCAGAAAAATCATCTCTCATTGTGTTGTTTGCAGACGGAACAGAGGAAAGTTTGTTGAACAAAAATGGCAGATCTGCCAGGAGAAAGAGTTCTGCCAACCACCGCTCCTTTCACAAACGTAGGAGTGGATTACTTTGGTCCTGTAAGTGTTAAAAGAGGACGAAGTCTCCTGAAAAGGTATGGAGTTCTGTTCACTTGTTTCACCAGCCGTGCAGTACATCTGGAAATTGCCTACACTCTCGATACAGATTCCTGTATAAATGCAGTCCGCAGGTTCATCTGTAGAAGAGGTCCAGTTTCCACAATTAGATCCGACAATGCCACAAATTTTGTTGGTGCAAATCGAGAGCTGAAAGAGAGTTTGGCTGAACTGAATCATGCTAAAATTCAAAATGCTTTTGTGCAGGATGGAATGAAATGGAACTTTAACATCCCTGCAGCCTCTCACCAAGGGGGAGTTTGGGAGCGTCTGATTCGTTCCATTAGAAGTATTTTAGTCTCAGTTCTCAAAGAACAAGTTTTAGATGATGAAGGACTTCAAACAATCTTTTGTGAAGTTGAAGCCATATTAAATGACAGACCCATTACCAAAGTGTCAGATGACTCAAATGATCTTGAGGCACTCACACCCAACCATTTGTTGTTGTTGAAGAACAAACCAGTTTTGCCACCAGGATTGTTCAGTCAAAAGGATCTTTATGTCAGAAAAAGGTGGAAACAAGTGCAATACATGGCAGAGTTGTTCTGGAAAAGATGGCTTTCTGAGTACTTACCTCTGATGCAGGAAAGACAAAAATGGACAAGGACTAAAAGATGTCTTACTCCTGGAGATGTTGTTTTAATTGCAGACTCTACAGCTCCAAGAGGATCCTGGATGATGGCCAAAGTCTTAAATGTAAACCAGGATGCAAAAGGCTTGGTGCGTTCTGCGCAACTGCAAACGAAGACCAGTGTTTTGGAAAGACCTGTGACCAAACTTCTGTTGCTACTGGAAGCATCACACTGAGAAAGTATGGACATGTTTAATGGAATAGCTCCTTTTCCTTGTTAAAGTAATTCCGACAGTATTCGCAATTAGGGGCCGGAGTGTTGGAGCTATTTATTCTTTATTTCTTTATCTATTTGAATTTTGTTAGTTTATTCTTAAACTTCTATTTTTTGCATTATTTACAGAGTTTATTTGCAGGTTAATAATTGATTTTATATTTTGTTTTGTTTTCTTATTTTTTCCTATTTTTTATCATTTGTAAGCTAGACAGGAAGTAAGGTGGGTCAGTCCACCTTCTATAAATGTAGGGGCCTGGTAAAGGACCAACAGGCATTTGGGTTTGGGGCCTATGGTTTTTACCAGTGCAAGAGATCAGTGCAAGAGAAAGGGATCAGTGCAAGAGATCAGAGAGAGAGAGCAGTGCCAGAGAACAAAGAAAAGTTTGATAATTGTAATTGCTTGCATAAAAGGAAAATAAAAGCAACAAAGAAAATCAACAAGTTTGGACCTTGGGATTCTTTTGCCTGTGTTAAGAATCTGGACCCCAGTGCCTCATAGTGGCTGATGGAACTTTTTATTGGATGTTTGGTTTGACAAACAATCGCCACTACAAAAAGGAAACGCAAACAAAATAACAAACCAAAAAATCTAATAATCTTAAGTAAATAAACTAGACACTCTTATTCAGGGATGTTAAACAAGTAGAAGTAAGTATTCTCTGGTCCAATTCATTTTCTGGGTTAGAAGAATAGGAGTCTAAGGTAGTTTTTCTGGGTTCCAAGTTCTAATCCCTGTTCTGGGTTGCTGAATCAATGTAAGTAACACTAGATAACTATATATTCTCTGGACTTCCCATCTCCTGCTTGTTATTTTTATTTTGGGACCTTTGACAGGGGCTCAGCCAGCCCAAGTGTTTTAACTGGGCTGGTGGCACAGCTGAGATTGATGAGTGATGGGTGACATGTATGAAGTTGCTGCAGAAGTGGAGTTTTGGCAAAGAAAAAAATAATTAAAAGTACGGTGCGGGGAGGTTCTGGAAGGAAATAAAGTACCTTCACCTCGGGACGGATGTTCCCAGAGGGGAGCGTCAGATATTTTTGGCCGGGACGAAGTTTGTTTTTTTTAAAAAAATCTTTATCTCTGAGGATTTTGTTGGCTGTAGTGGCTCTACTATTTTAGGCTGACAGGAAGGAGGGGATGGAGAGAGAGGGGGGGAAGACATCTCTTTATTCAGTAGTTTCAGGAGTGGTACAGATGTGCAGCAGAGTTGGAAATCAGTGGTGCTCAACCACCGGGCCGTGGACCGGTACTGGTCCGTGAACCACTTGGTACCGGCTGCAAGAAATAATGAAATATTTCCATTTTATGTATTATTTGAGTCTGGAGGATCTTTTATTTTGAAAATCCTTTACCGGATTCTCTCGGTGGCGTTTTGCCGCCAACATTGATCCACAAGCAGCAAAACGAACAGAACCAGATCAGATTCTTTGGAAAGTTTGTCTGAAGGCCCAGAGAGGCAGGAGGATGGGTTTGTCCGGTGGTTTGATTCCCACAGTCCAAGCTGCTCTGCATGATCGGGTGACCTGATGAGCCAATGAAGCTTCAGACTGCATCACCATGGAGACCCAGCATCACTTCAGTGTCTCATCTCCCAGAAGGAGAAACGAGTTCAGGGCTCCCTTTTAAAATGTTTTGTATCACATAAAATCAGTTCAGCCGAGAGAAAAGAAAAAAGAATTAGCAAAGTAATAATAAGGTTTGGCACCACTGCTCTAAATCATAACAGAAATGAGCCCATATTAATTCATCTCACACATTTGTCTAATACAAGTGGCAGCAGTGACACCTGCTGGCCACAAGTTTATAAAATGCTAGGACCGATAGTTTAATTTATAGGTCACAATAAACAGGCGCAAACAAGTATGGATGCCAACAAGAGCAAACGAAACAACAACGAACAAAATACTTGAATAACTCCAACATGTGCTCACAGGTGGATAGTTAACAATGTACAGCATCCCAATAACTACAGCCCGACAAAACAACAGCAACACACAGCACGGGCGGAACTAATAAATAAAAAACCTTAATACACTTAACAAGTCACTAACAACAAGGCAGGAACGCACATCAACCCGAACCGAAACAATCGGCACCAGCTGCATGTCTCCACCCTCAGAGACATGCTTTACTGCAGCTGCTGAAAGTGCCATGAAGAACTCACCACTGGGTGGCGCACCTCCCCTCCCAGGCCAAAGAACCCAGAACCCGAGCCTTTGTAACGTCACGAGTGGTGGGTTTTTAGGAAAAGAGAAAAACTACTGAGACCTTGGCTACAGCTTTGGCTTTGTGTGACGAACCTGAAATGACCAGAGCACTGTTCCAAATTAAACACAGTTTATTGAGCTCATAAAGCCTGCAGGCATAAATAGTCAGTTTATTTTCTTGCACAACATTTACCACACTAAACCAAAGTCTATGCTGGCCCTGGAAAACTTGCAGCTGAAAACCATAATTAAAATCCAATTCAATAAAGTTAGAATAATAATGAAGAAAACACAGATATAATTAATGCATCTGAGTGTTCCCAAACAAAAAACACACTCTCACAAAAATCCCTGGTGAATAAAGTGAAGATGCTATATTTATCATAAAAGATATAGTACCAATGGAAAAATATTAAGTTTATTTAGTTCTATAACATTCTATTTTGTAAAACTCATCTCAAATAGTTGTTATCATATAATTAAATATATAAACTATTGATAGTTTATTAGAGATGAAGTTCAGGAAGAAACTAAGGATTCAGTTAATAATCTTTGAACAATTTGAAAACACTGTTCTCTTTCCTGTCTTTGTTGAAGCAGATTCTGCGTTTGCCCTCATATGGGAAACACTTTATTTGACGGAGCGTGCATTAGACTGAAATGACTCTATGAAGGAGCCTTTATGAATGTTAATGTCTGTTCTCATGAAGTGTCATTTGGTAAATTATGACACATTTAATGCTAAGTTGCAATAAAAGTGCTAACTTTTTTAATTAGCACATTAGCCCATAATTCACAGTCACACCACCTTCCTGTGAGTTTAAACTAAACTAAGTTTGAATGAGAAAAAATATTCAGTGATAACAGTATCACTGCTAAAATGAAAAACAAAGTGGTCATGTTTAATAATTTTTCATGCTCTAAATTAACATAGTAATACTAATGGATAAAGATTTACATAGGAAAAAATATGATTTTCCTCAAGAAATTGAAACTCAGCAAAATTCAAATATGTTTTGTTTAAAGAAATATGTTGAAAAAAATCAGAAACTGAGAGACGTTTAACTTTTCAGCTTTTCCACCAGTGAAAAGATAAAATACATTTAATTGCATCAAAACAAACTACATTGATCAAGACATTAAGATTATTAGCTAGATTTCACTAATAATAAAGTTTGTTTCATTTTTCATTATGTTCTCATTTAGTATTTTTCTCTGCGTCTTTGCTCCAGTGTCTGAACCTGAACTGAGGGTTGTCCTACTGGGAGGCAACTGGTCCCAGAGAAATCTAGTTAGGACCCTCATACTGGGAGGGAAAAGTTTCACCACGAAACCAAACTCCTTTATCAAAATCACTGGATCAGTGAGAAACAGGAAAATATCTGTTATCAACACTCCATCTGCAGTTCCCCACAGCGGACAGCATTACAGAGTTTATTAGAGGATGTGCTGCAGCCTCTCATCCTGGACCTCATGTGTTCCTGTTGGTTCTTCAGCCTGAAGACTTCACTGAGGAAGAAAAGCACAGCATCCACCAAGCACTTTACCATTTCAATGATGAATCATTTAGTCATTCACTGGTAATGATCCTGAATCCCAAACAGGAAGGTTCAATATTAAAGGAAGACGGATGAAGAATCCTCAGATAAGGAATCTGATCACAGAGTGTAGATACAGATATTTATTCCAAATGATGGTTGAACCTCAAGAGCTGCTGATTCAGTTTGATCAAATAATGAAAGAGAACAATGGAGAACATGTGAGATATAAAGAGCCTGAGGGAACGGCGACTCCAGCTGGTGAAGATGAAGGTTAGTAAAAATGTTTCACATAATAACAAACGTTCTTTAATCTGCTAATTTATGCTCAATATTCAGAGATCTGAGTGAAGTAAACAAATTCCTCCTTAGCTCAGTTTTAAGGAAAAAACTCAGAAGATGACAAAAAATATCTCTTAGGTTTGTTTATAAAATAATACATTTTCATATGAACCAAAAATAGCACAAATGTATTGCAATTGGATACTTTACTGATATTTAAACCTTAAATTGATCAAATTTATGTTTCTAAAACTAAAGTTATAGAAATTAGATTAGTTTCTAAATTAACCTAACTTTAACATTGTTGCATGAATAAAGTGCCTTCTGAAACAAGAGGATACAAAAACATCACCTGTTGTTATTTTGACCCAGGCAGATGACATCCACCCATTCATTTTCTAACACCTTTAGTGGCTCTTGAGGTGCTGATGTCTGTCTCCAGCGAATGTTTCGGGCGAGAGGGTCACCCCAGACAGGTGGCCAGTCTGTCTCCAGTCTGTCTCCAGTCTGTCTCCAGTCTGTCTCCAGTCTGTTCCAGACTTCAACTGCATTCCCCACATTACAAAACCCAATCTCAGTGGTCAAAAACAGGAAGATAGAGGTCATCATCCCTAGGAAGGTCAAACATGAATCTGCTGTCACAAATCAGAGGTCAAAGTTCAGATCTCAGTCAGAAGTCAGAATCATGAGACGGTTCTCTGAAGACATGCAGGTCAAACAGCAGAATCACCAGAGCAGGAAAAGGTGAAGTGGATTTCTCCTGACAACATGCAGCATTAATGTAGCAAAGAAAGAGAGACAGACAAACAGCACAGCGAATGATGGGAATGTAATCAGGAATGACGCAGGATAGGAGAAAGAAAACATTCGAGGAAGAAATGTGAATCATCCAGTGGTCAGAGAGAGCAGCCTGAATCCAGAGGCAGCAAACCTCAATGTGGCCGAGTCACCCTGGGGTCATCCTGGGGTCACCCTGGGTCACCCTGGAGTCACCCTGGGGTCACCCTGGAGTCACCCTGGGGTCACCCTGGAGTCATCCTGGGGTCACATTGGGGTCACCCTGGAGTCACCCTGGGGTCACATTGGGGTCATCCTGGAGTCACCCTGGGGTCACCCTGGAGTCACCCTGGAGTCACCCTGGTGTCACCCTAAGTCACCCTGGAGTCACCCTGGAGTCACCTTGGGGTCACCCCGGAGTCACCCTGGAGTCACCCTGGGGTGACCCCAAGGTGACTCCAGGGTGACTCCAGGGTCCAGGATGACATTGGGGTCATCCTGGGGTCACCCTGGGGTCATCCTGGGGTCACCCTGGAGTCACCCTGGAGTCACCCTGGAGTCACCCTGGAGTCACCCTGGAGTCACCCTGGTGTCACCCTAAAGTCACCCTGGAGTCACCCTGGAGTCACCTTGGGGTCACCCCGGAGTCACCCTGGAGTCACCCTGGGGTGACCCCAAGGTGACTCCAGGGTGACTCCAGGGTCCAGGATGACATTGGGTCATCCTGGGGTCACCCTGGAGTCACCCTGGAGTCACCCTGGGGTCACCCTGGGGTCACCTGGAGTCACCCTGGAGTCACCCTGGAGTCACCCTGGGGTCACCCTGGAGTCACCCTGGAGTCACCCTGGGGTCACCCTGGAGTCACCCTGGGGTCACCCTGGAGTCACCCTGGAGTCACATTGGGGTCACCCTGGAGTCACCCTGGAGTCACATTGGGGTCACCCTGGAGTCACCCTGGGGTCACTCTGGAATCACCCTGGGGTCACCCTGGAGTCCCCCTGGGTCACCCTGGGGTCACCCCTGGAGTCACCCTGGAGTCACCCTGGAGTCACCCTGGGGTCACCCTGGAGTCACCCTGGGGTCACCCTGGGGTCACCCTGGAGTCACCCTGGGGTCACCCTGGAGTCACATTGCTGCATGTCTTCCCCCCTTTCTCTCTGCTCCTTCCTGTTAGATTACTGTTAATCTGACAGGATTAGTAATCCCATTAGATTAGGTTTTAGTGTCAACTTGAAAACTTCTTTCAAAAGAAATGGAAATGATGATATCTTTATGTTTCTTTTTGCTGAAGTGATGAATGATGTTGTTAGTCTAATAATGGATGTTACAACACAAACAGTCCAGTTTAACACACTCAGTGATTTCAGTCTGTTTTGGGTTTTTCCAGCATGTTGTTCACCTGATTCTCTGTAAAGTTATGTTTCATCATTTCATTTTTCTCTTTGTTGTGTTCCAGTTTCTGCATTTAGGATTGTACTATTTGGGGAAAATGAGAACAAAAAGACTGAACTTGTCAAGCAGATGATCAGAAATCAAGAGTTTGTCATCCGAAAACCTTCTTCCCAATGTGTGGCTCACTGTGGACAACTGAGAGGAAAACCAGTGACAATGGTGACATTTCCTGACCTGTTCAGTCTGACTGAGAGTCAAATGGCAGCAGAGTTAAAGAGCTGCTGGGATCTTTGTCATCCTGGACCAAATGTTCTGCTGCTGATGGTGAATTCTTCAGATTTCACAGAGGAGAAGAAAAAAAAACTGGATTCCTTCCTGGAAAAGTTTGATGAAAATGCCCAGAAACACTCAATGGTCATCAGAACAAATGAAATTGATAAACAGGATTCTGTTCTTAATTCATTCATCGCAGATAGACAGTATGAAGATAGACAGTACAACATGGCTGACAACAATCTCCAGAATTTAATGAAGAAGATTGAAGATATTGTAAATCGTGACCAAAGTGCCTTCCTGAAGCTCAAAGAGGATAAAGCAGAGTCAAAACGTGACGAGACTCTGCAACACTCAAACCGGGTTTTGTTAGGGAAGACGTCAGAATCGGGCCAAATGGAGGATAAACTACAGCAACAGACAGGTTGGTAGACAGTTGCTGTTTTTGGTCCACATTAGAGTTCAATGTGCATTCTCACATCCACAAACAAACTTTGTAGAGAAACCAACTGGAGTTCCTCTAAGAACAGGACTGGTGTGAATGGACCTGAGCCAAGGTGGGTAGTACGAGTCCTGGAGAACCGCTGACCTGCAGCTTTAGATCAATCTCTGGTCCAGAAACCTGAGTTACATAATGAGGTGATGAGCAGGAGAACCTGATGCACTGCAGGAAGAGATTCAGCTGTTTGATTATTAGGATCCATATTACATGTTGCCATAACATTGTTCCTGGGATTCACATCATAACACATCATTTACTACAAACCCAGTTATACACACTTAATATAACATTAGAAACATAACATGAATTCATAAATACACAATTACAACACTTTAAAATGAACTCTGGGTTAAAGTGATCTGTGAATTTATCATCTTTCATCTCATAGTTATTATTTATTCTGTAATTTCCCAGGTAATCCAGAGCGTCTCCGGATCGTTCTGATTGGGAAAACTGGCAGTGGGAAGAGTTCATCAGGAAACACCATCCTGGGAAGAAACCAGTTTAAATCTGGAGTTTCTCCACAGTCAGTTACTAGAAGCTGTGAGAAAGCTGAATGTGTGATAGACGGTCGCCATGTTGATGTTGTTGACACTCCTGGTCTGTTTGACACCAACTTGTCCTTGAGTCAGGTTAATGAAGAGATAAGGGAATGTTTCAGTCTGGTGCATCCAGGTCCTCATGTCTTCCTGCTGGTTTTACCGATCGGCAGATTCTCTGTAGAAGACACTGAGACACTGAACTGACTGAGAAAGTTTTGGGAGAAAATTATAAGAAGTTTACCATCGTCCTGTTTACCAGAGGAGATACACTGGAACATGATGAGATCTCCATTGAACAATACATTGAAGATGATTGTGATGATGCCTGTAAGAATCTGATCAGAGAGTGTGGAGGAAGATACCATGTGTTCAATAACCAACAAATAAAGAATCGATCACAAGTTTACTGATCTGATCAAAAAGATCAACATGATGGAGAATGAAGGCAAATGCTACACCAGGGAGATGTTACCTGGTCAACAGAAACCAAAATAAAATCTCCTGTTTGACTAATAAAGTTTATCTGAATCTGATTAGTGTTAAAATAAAGAAAAAGAAAACAAAATAAACTCCAGAATGCAAAGCACTCAGCCAATCATTTGTTTCTGAAAATGCATATTAATACCAACCTGTAATATTTCCTTAGTTATTGGTGCTTCACTTTTATTATTTTGCCCCTTTTTACATTTTAGTGTCGTTTATTTCATTCTTTTCATTTTCATTGTTATTTTAACTTTACTGGATTAATCATTTTGTAACAGAATGAAATATTGGAGATTAGAAAAACTTCATTTAAATAAAATATGGGCTCAAACTACATATTTTCAGTATTTTCTGTAGTGTTGAAAAAAAGCAGCTACAATAACTTTACATTGTTGACGCTGCCATCTTTAAAGGGCTGGAAATGCCGGGTAGTAACAGAGGAAAAACAACACAGCCTTTAGCTTCATTTGGCCTGAGTGCTGTGCGGTGCAGCCTGTGGCCTTTTATTAACAGATTTCACACACCTGTGTAAATCCCCGCCCACAACAGGTAATCAGCAAGAACATCAACAAGATTCAACACCCCCACTTGTTCTTATGCTGACATAATACATTTACATGTCATTGCTTTACATTTACATGCCAAAAATAAAACATGCAAATTTATCCATTCTCATTTTAGTTACAGGCTTTGTTAAAATATCAGCCACCATTTCTGTTGTTGGACAGTAAGACAGAGTTATTTTTCCATCACAAAGTGCAGACCGAATAAAGTGATACCGAATATCAATGTGTTTGCACCTTTGACGATAGACCGGACTTTTAGAAAGAGCAATTGCACCTTGATTGTCCTCAAAAACAGTCACAGGTGTATATTCACATCCAAAGTCCATTCCATTCATTAGATTCACAAGATAGATACTTTCCTGTGTAGCAGCAGCCAAAGCAATATATTCAGCTTCACATGTAGATAAAGAAACTGTGGGTTGCTTTTTAGACTTCCAGGAAATAATGGGTCCAGTTTCAGATAGACTAAAACAGTAACCAGTCATACTTCGTCTGTCCTTCAGTTCCATTATCAGATCTTATACATTTAATTTTTCCATGAGGTGCCACATCTGCAATAAACTTCTCTGTTCCCTTAACAGTATCACTCTTAGCTTTTCAGAAAATAGGTAAAGATAGCACCTGAAAATCATCTGTAAAAGCCAAGGTATATCTAACCCATCTTTAGCAGCTGGTTCTATTGGTCCAGCCAGATCTGCATGTACAAGATCTAATGCACATTTAGCTTTATCATCAGGATCTCTATTTCTGGTCTGAGCAAATTTACCTTTTATGCATACTTCACATTTCAGATCAGGTTTTTCACTTTTACCTCTAATTTTCATTCCATCTACAACACTTTCTAACTTCGACACATCATCATAGTTACAGTGACCTAAAATTTCATGCCACGTTTGGATGTCATAGCAGCCATTGCACTTATCAACATCATCTGCAACAGTATTTAAATAAAACATTCTATCATAACATCAATATCAAAAACCGTACCATTTTTATGGATGAGCCTGTTCTGTCCATCTTTGAAGATGACTGTCGCTCCTTGGGCAGTTGCGGCTTTAACCGAAAAGATGTCCTGAGAAAATAACGGCACGTATAAAGTGTCCTTTAACATTATCTCTACAATTCGGCCGTTGCTGTCTCTCAAATGAACTCTGGCGGTGCCCTTCTTCAGCGCGATGCCCTTGGTCCTCACGCCGTCAGCCAACTCCAAAATATGGCTCTGAGGCTTAAAAGTCAAGTCAAAATCCTTGAATTTAACAGCGTCTGTCACAATGTGCTTTGTTGCACCCGAGTCGACCATGAGGCCCTTCACCTTCATGCCATCGATCTGGGCATCAGCAATCTGCTTCACCTTGAAAGCGAATGTATAGTCCTCCTCATCCATTGCTTGCTTGATCTTGTCTCTCCTTTTCCGCCGACAATTTGCGTCCTTATGCGTGGCGCTCTTGCAAAAACTACACCACTGTTTCGGCTCTCTGCGCTCTCCTGAGGTTGAAGAACAATCCAGGGCTTTGTGCCCCCTCTGGCCGCAGTTGTAACAGGTGAGTTTCATACTCCAATTGTCTCTTCCTTTAACTTTCATCACGCTATCTTCTGCTGAGCCAACACACAACATCTGTGCTCTCATAGCTTCTTAGCTTCGTTTTAAATTGGGAAAAAGTTAACTCTTCATCACTCTGTGTAACATAAACAGAGAATGGTTTAAACTCATCAGGCAGGCCTTTTAAAATCATTGCCGTCAGCAGGCCATCACTTAAAACTTCTCCTGCATTCGCAGCGCTGTAATTGCAGTTTTCTGCTCGGATAATAGTCAGTGACGTTCTCATTGACACCTTTCTGAAGTGACGTCAGCTCCGTATACAGACTAATCACTCGTGGCTTACCCGAACCAGCATAGTGATCTCTGAGGATCTTCAAGGCTTTCCTGCCGTCATCCACAGCATCTCTCATGACAAGCGAAAGACTCTTATCGTCCAAGACTTGAATTAGTTCTCCATACGCCTCTTCATTTTTGGTAGCATCTTCTTCCGCGTCATCGGGTTCGTCCTTCAATAATATGGTGTTTTTCAGTTCAAGCAGATGTAAGTGGGCCAAAAACTTGGTTTCCCACAACTCATACTTCTTTTCATCTCCATCAAAGCATAATCGATTCCATCGGCTTCCAAACTCCTTCCTGGGCCCATAACCTGTTGACGCTGCCATCTTTAAGGGCTGGAAATGCCGGGTAGTGACGGAGGAAAAACAACACAGCCTTTAGCTTCATTTGGCCTGAGTGCAGTGCAGTGCTGTGCGGTGCAGCCTGTGGCCTTTTATTAACAGATTTAACACACCTGTGTAAATCCCCGCCCACAACAGATAATCAGCAAGAACATCAACAAGATTCAACATACATCTTTATGGACCATGTTAAGAATTAAAAAGTGGAAGAACTTGATTTAGCTCTTTAATTAATTCTTTGTCCCGAATTCCTGTGTCTGTGTAAGTGTGCAGAGAGAAAAGACCAATCATACGACGTCAGACTTCAGATATTCAGAGTTTTATCCAGAGAAATTCAATCCAAGAGAATGTTACAATAAGCACCTCACCTAGAGCAAAAGTCCAAGACATTACAAAACAGAGACAAAGAACTGAGTAACAAAAAGACAGAAGATGCATCCTCCGGGAAACTCTCACTCAGCACAAAGAGATTCCAACTTCTGCTGTGAAACAAACCATTTTTTATAGACTGCATATTCTCCTCATTTAAATATATGCATTAGGAGGTGTGTTCTTTTCCTTTGTGTGGGCTGTCTCAATGTTAATTTTATTACCTCCTGCTAAAGAGCCCCAAAAGCAGATATACGGCAAACCCTTCTCGTATCAGCCGCTGTCCAGTTTGATATATGATTGCAGCTGCAGCGCTATCTGTGCCTCAAACTGTTTTCACAAGAAAGTAGTTTGTATTTTTAACCAAGCTTGCACACAATGTAATGCTAAATAATGACTATAAGTTTGGATCTAATAACTAATTAAAAACATGCTTAAAGAAATATAGTTAATTCTAATATAGATAAAATTATTTATAAAAGTTTTAAGATCCTAGTGAACTTTTGAACCATGCTAAGGAATTTGTTAATTGCCTGGCAGACAGACTCTCTGTGTAAAGAGATTCTAGGCTGTTTTCTGTCGAATCCTCCCTAAGAATTTATATAAGTTCAGAGATTCAGCAGTTGTTTTAGTTTGGATCTTTATCTAAATTTATGTGAACGTAGAGTGTACTTTAACTTTCTATGGTATATTTCATATGTATCAAAACTATCCTGTGCAGTATTGTGCTAATTTAAAATATTATTTCAACAACCAACAGGACGGATCTGCTGAGCAGCTCAGAGGATATTTAAATGTAAAGATGATTTATTAGAAGATTTTTCCATAAGTTAATTATCTTGTCTGGATTTTTTAACATTTCAGGATGAAATGATGTTTTATTAATTACAACCTGATCCATCATCAACAAACAACAGATCTAAACTGTAGATCAGGAACATTTTATGGTTTGTTTTGTTTGGGTTGGAAATATTTCCAGGACTTTTTTTAATATGCATTTAATTTATGTTGTTTTTGATTTAATGTACTTGTTGGTGGATGATTTTTAATGAAAAATAAAATTGTTATGAATGATGTTTTTTGATGGTTTTCCTCTATTTGATTTGTATTTAATTTTGATATTTAGTGGATTTACAGTTTATTCTTCCTGACAATATGAAGTAGTTTTTATTAAAGGTTTATTGAAACGTTTCTGCCTGGAGGCCTGGATGGAGAAAAGATCAAACCAGTCAGATCTGCTGGTTTCTCTCAAACTTCAAAACACAGATTGTTTGAACTGAATTAATATTTTTCTTCAAGTTAAACTATATAAATTGTTTCTGCCACTTAGTGATGCTGGTTGATGAAAGGGTCTCTAATTTATGGTTAATAGCCATATTTCATCTTAATGAGATGAATCCAAATGTTTTGTTTTGATAAATCATTTTGCATTGAGTCTCTATAATCATTTTGATATTTGCCTAATTTTATGCATCTGTTGTGTTAGCAGGCTTTCTTACTTCTGTTATATTTGAATCAAACTTTTAATTTTTATCTGACACAAAACAAACTATTGAACTGAACCACAAC